ATCATGAGCTCCCTGGGTGAATCGAAACCCGACGTAATTTATTAAACGTGACACATACATCAAGTGGTGTTTTTTTACATATAACGCTGCAAATTCATATAATAATAAATATTTTTTAAATGATTCTGACGCGCGAAATAATTAATTAAATCACGCAACAAGCGGGAAGAACAATTTATTGTTGCCTCGCCAAGTTGCTTAACGCGTCGCCCAGTCACACACACTTCAGAAACTCAATGTGGGCTATTCCAACTTACGTACGCATACCCGAAGAAGGTTACAATGTAATATTTTTAAATATAAGGACGCACAATTTTAAACGAAATATGTGGGAGGATGATTGTTATTTGTATCAGCAAGCTACTCGGCGCGTCGCAGTCCAATACACGCACAGACCATCATTAAAAGAATTCAATGGGCAGTGAAGAAAGGGGCGATTTTCGCCCTTGGAGTATTTTTTTAATGGCGCACAAAGTGTAGTAGGCGGGGAATCGCGCAATCTCGCGTCCTAGAGTAAACACTGCAGTAATAATATGAAAATGTAAGATGTACTATGTAGTGATTTTAAAGAAATCAGGTTTAGTTTGTTGATTTTATTATAACAAGTAGCAAATGATACATTTTGTTGTTTATTTTGAATAATCCCTGGGTTTTAATTTAGCGTACTGTAAAATATTTTATTTTTGCTATTTTTGCTGAAGGAATGATTCAGTGAAAGTAAAATCCATTGAATATACATTTTGTACCTGTTTTCCTATATTTTTTACCTTCAACTTGCCACAAATCAGTGAAAATAAATTCCATACAAAACACTCGAAAAGTTTTTTCAGCGAAAATTAATTCCAGCTAAAATAATGTATTTTACAGTAGTCAGCCATCAGTGAAATAAGTGAAAATAAAACCCAATGAATTAGGCCAGTACAGTATCACATACATTCAAGCTCAGATAACAGTCTGAGTGGGTTAGTGTGGTTTGTGATTCAACACAGGCACGCAGTCTCCTCACCCGTACCATGTTTGGAATATTACATCGCACCAAGCAACACATGCTGCCTCAAAAGTTTTCTTTTGTGTATGATGTAATTGTGTCTTCAAGATAGACCAGGCATTTTCACTTGAAAAAAATGTTGATTTTCAGGAAAAGTTCCATTCTACAGATATCCAACCAGTGCTTTATTGAAAATATTGCAACATATTTAGTGACCAAATATGGTTACATGACCTCATTAAAAATTCATAAATATCTTCTGGAGCACTACTGAAGATATTTCTTTTGTGAAAATAGTCAGGGAATCTGCCATCTCTGATGGCTTTCTTGTGTTTGTCTTTTTTTTTGTTTGATTTCACAGGTCTGGTTTTTCCAGTTACATGTAATAGGAAATGGTCTGTCTGCTAGAAGAGAAAATTAAATTGATTGTTTTTGTATTATTGCTATACATCTTGAAGAACTACAAAAGGGTCATACACATGTACACTGTATATGTAACAAATAGTTTTTTTTTTATTGCAGGATGTTTCTAAATTAGATCCTCTATCTCCCGAAGTAATCAGTAGACAAGCAACAATTAATATAGGTAAGCCTTCATTCTCAATGTATACACTGTATTTGCTCTGTTACATACTGTAAAACATGTCTTTTTCGCGAGCATGTTTTTTCCCGCGAGCATGTCTTTTTCGCGAATCAACATAGAAATCAACAATGACAAGAGAGATTCGCTAAATTAACATTTCGCTATTACGTCGTTTTACCACAATTCGCTAAAATTGCATGCCACTTTTTCAACATGTTTTACAGTAATTGATGGAGTAATGTAATTTTTATTTAGTTAATGAGTGTTTATCTTAATAGAGCAAATATATTATCAACTTATGGTGTGAAAACATATTGTGTGAACCATTATTTCTGTGAGTGTCAGACAGGGTATTTGTAAGTGTCTGTTAAAATATACTAAGAAGATGATTTTGGGCACTATATATTTGTCAAAATAGTGAAAAAACAAATGAAAAAAAACATTAAAGCTGGTAGCTGGCTTATAAACTGGTGATTATTTATTGTAAATTGGGACATAAAGTATGGTCTGAGCGTAACATAACATTTAGCGAGATTTAAACCATAAGACGTGATGTACGAGAATACTCGTAATAGCACGTCTGAATCCCACAGCGAAGCACGAGAATAATTGTAAACGACCCTCTGAGAAATTGCGTTGTTTTGAATGACGTATATGTGGAGTACATCATCAATAAAGGCGAAAAACATATGAAATAAACTTTGACCTGTGTATATGTGTGTGTTATTATTGCCTCAACCGAGGATTCCTCGCCCAATATGCAAATTACATGTTCAAATTCCATAGCTTGACCGCTAACTTTGAATGTTTGACTAGCAACGCAATCAAAATGGCGACACCAAATTTGCATTTCAATGACCCTGAAATACAAGCTGTATGGTATGAAATATTTGCCGATTCTGATTCTGAATACGAATTTGAAGGTTTTACTGCGGAAGAGATCGATTTTGGTGATATCCCGAATGATGATATTGAGTGGGAGATTGAAAATTCTGGAGTGGAAGTTGCCGACGATACTCGTCTTGGCTGGTCATCGAAAGCAAGTGGCGACATTTTGGTATCACCGTTCACCGGTGTTCCGGGACTCAATGTTCAATTGCCGGAAAACACAACTGCATTCGATTTTGTCAAGTTATATCTTAAAGATGAGGACATTATCAGCATTGTTGAGCAGACAAATTCTCACGCAAATGATCATCTTGCACGCAACGATGAAAACTTGGAACCGCACTCCAGACTCCGGAAGTGGAAGAATGTAAACATAGACGAGATGAAGATTTTTCTTGCCATGACAATCGCTATGTCGATGCTCCATAAGAACGATCTTGATGATTATTGGAGCCTAAATCCGATAATTTCGACGCCTTTTTATCGTAGCATGATGCCAAGGGATAGATTCGAGCTCATTTTAAAATTTCTGCACTTCAATGATAATGCTGCCTATGTTGTTCGTGGTGAAGCCGGATATGACCCTCTTTTCAAAATCCGACCTCTGTATGACACCATAACACGCCATTTGTCGGAAGTGTATACGTGTGAGCAGTGTATTAGTCTTGATGAAGGAATGGTGCCATGGAGAGGGAATATTCACTTCAGGCAGTACATTCCAAGTAAACCAGATCGTTTTGGTTTGAAATCATACATGGTGTCAGAATCATCAAGTGGGTACATTTCTGTTTTTGATATATATACTGGAAAAAATTACACCCCTAACCCCGATACAATAGAAAGTGAAAATGAAGGCCATACTTTCAATGTAGTAATGGGGCTGATGAGAAAAGGTAGTTTGCTGAACAAGGGATACAAACTGTACACGGACAATTACTACACCAGTCCTACGCTTATTGACCATCTAAAAGCTGAAGATACAATGTTAGTTGGTACAGCTAGATGAATAGAAAAAGAAAATGCCTGCAGCCCTGAAATTGCCATTGCGACAAGGTGAAGTCATTT